ACAGTGTGGCTCTAATGAAAGGATGCCTGAGGGGCTGGGGCTTAGCTCAGGGGAAGACGAGGAGGTCCAGGTTTCAACCCAGCATCCCGTGAAGATACTGCTGTTTCTCTGGGCATGCTCCTGCACACATTAAGGAAACTTCCCAGGGGAAAGGAAGGGCCACGTGATGTATTCATGGGAACAGCCAGAACTTGGACTGCAAGCACCCAGGCTGGTGGATGCCAAGCCTGCCATACCAAGGCTTTCGAGCGGTTATATTAACCTGTTGTCTAAGTTCATATGGCTCCTGTTACCAGACCAACTGAGAAAATGGAGACCTCTCTCGGTCACCACCGTGAAGAACAGCAAGGAGCTGACTTGGCTCCTAACAGTGATTCTCTGACTACTGAGCCTGTGGTCCACTCTCAGCCCACTCGATACTGAGGCTTTTTCTTTCTGGTGAGCTGTGTTCCCTTACTGAGAACTTTCTACAGCTCCTCCTGCTTGAGATGGATTTGGGACATAGAAGCTGTTAAAGGTGCCAAAATAATTTAATGTTTGTGCAGAAAGAAGAATATCAAAAGGTACATTTTTCTCCCCACAAATGCTGGTCAGTCATTGAGTGCGTCTCTGAAGACAAGCTACGGCCACTGTGGCAGTCTGTCTCTGTGTCAGATACAGAAGAGCACTGACCCGTGTTGATGGCTCTTACTTGTGTGCTTTTGGCAAGTAAATTAAAGGAATTTGGAGTCGTCTGTTGTCATACAAGAGAGATTTCTGATGCTGTGTCTAGATTTTTCAGGATCAGAGAGATGGCTCATCAGGGAAAGGCAAGCGCTACTAAACCTGACTGACAGTCTGAATTCCGCCCCGGGGACCTACACAGTGGAAGGAGCGAACGGACTCCCAAGGATGACCTCTGACCTCCACACGCACACCATGCTGCAAACACACACACACACAATATTTTGTAAACTGTACTCTAAAACTGTTCCTTGCTAGAGGAGCATCCTTAGACCTTTGCTCCAGCATGTGCAGGGTTCGGTATGGACAGGAGCGACTAATACTATGGGGCTGGCCTTTGCCTTTGGTGTTCTCCTTGCAGAACTGTTTAGTTTCCTACACCCGGAATGTGGGTCGGCAGCAGGATGCCAGACAGTGCTGCAGCGAGCTTATGCTAGATTTGGAGACTTTGGAAACACTTAAGGTTTTCAAACCACAAGAACAGTGGAAGACGCAGATGCTGAAACCAAAAACCAAGAAAGTGGAGTCCACATGGAAGTCAGAACTCCACAGCCAATCTTAAAGTGGTCCCAAGGGTGGTGTCATATGGACCAGATGGAGAGAACATTGTACAGATTTCAGCAATGTCTGCAGGGGAACACCCGTGAACAGCTTCCTCGTCATGCTTTAGAGAAGGGTTGGAAGACCTACACGTCAATGGTGATAGCTCTTGGTTAGCGTATTAGTTCTTGGTTTGGAAGTTTTAGCTTTGGGGATGGGTATATAGTTCAATTGGCAGAGCACTTGCCTAGCTTTCGTAAAGGCCTGGCCTCATCCACAGTTCTTCACAAACTGAGCACGCTGGCACACAGCTATTATCCCTGCACCTCAGGAGTTCAAGGTCATTATCAGTTACAGAATGAGTTCAGGTCCAGCCAGGGACAGAGATTTTGTCAAAAAGACAAGAGGAGGAGGGAGAGGGGAAGAAAGGAAGAAGAAATTCTCTTTTCACTTTTTATTAAGGCAGGAAACATGAAATATAACTTGTTTAGACTTTTCTTTGGTCATCAAGGGATCACAAAAGGACAAAAGAGTCAATTTATAAGAAGTTTTTCTCCCTCTGGAAGATAAACTTAACACTAAGGTATCAAACTTTACAAATCCTTGGTAATTTTTTTAACAGTGTTATTTTCAAGGAATCAATCAAGTGCCTGTTAATTAAAAATATTTGTTTTATTTCTTAATTAGGTGTTTGTATGTGCTGTGGAGGGGGGATGTGCAGGTGCCCCCAGAGGACAAAGGGATCAGACCCCACAGCTAGAGGTACTGGTGGCTGTGAACAGCCTGACCTGGACACTAGGAAACAAATTGTGGCCCCCTGAAAGAGTTGTACACCACACCATCTCTGCAGCAGCTGGTTATCGACTTTACAGAGCATTTTATATAGTAGTTTGGGGATCTTGCCATGGAAGATACTAACACAGCCCATAAGGAAAGTGTACTATGTAGAGTACATTTTGACTTTTTTAAAAATTTTAATTCTGTGGCTATTTTAAAGTGTTGGGCAAATTTCATGAGTGAATGAAAACAGTGAGGTTATTTGTTCTTAATTCACAGTATTTTGAAAGTGTATTCAGATAATACCATAAAAGTGTTGAAATTTGGTAAAAACCTAACTGCTAACTTTTGGTTTGTCGTGAAGTTTTAACAATTTTTTTGTTTTGTTTTGTTTGGGTTTTTGGTTTTTTTTCAAGATAGGGTTTCTCTGTGTAGTTTTGGTGCCTATCCCGATCTCGCTCTGTAGACCAGGCTGGCCTCGAACTCACAGAGACCTGCCTGGCTCTGCCTCTCGGGTGCTGGGATTAAAGGCGTGTGCCACCGTCGCCCAGCTTCAGGCCAGTTCTTAATTACTGGCTGTTCTTAATCCTCATGCATGTAGGACTTCAGACTAAACTCAGTGTTGATGGGGCTGTGCTGTGTGTGGAACTTACTAAATTAGTAATTTTCTTCAGGAAAACAAAGGATTTTGTTTTGTTTTTTAGGTAGAGCACCATGGAGCTCAGACTAGTCTCAGACTTCATATGTAGCTGAGATGACCCTAAATCCCTGATAATCTGCCTCACTTTCTAAGTACTGGGATTACAGGCATGTGCCACCATGCCAAAGTTGGATGCTTCTTTACATCAGGCAATCTTTTCTTTTCTTTTTTTTTTTTTTTTTCTCCCCGAGACAGGGTTTCTTTGTGTAGCCTTGTCTGTCCTGGAACTCAGTCTGTAGACCATACTGGCTTCGAACTCAGAGATCTGTCTGCCACCCCATCCCCAGTGCTGGGATTAAAGGTGTGTGCCATTTGGCTATATCAGGCAATCTTATGTGGGCCTTAATCACCATCCTAACAATTAAGACCAATGGGACTCAAATTTTATTGAGCACCTGTTGCATGAACTGTATTGTTGATCTTAACCCATTTCAGTTACTCAGCACTATCGTCCTAGTGACCATCATAACTGACTCCCTGGTCCACTGTGTCGCATCAAGATTCATGAATAGTTTCATAGACCCATAGGAACTTATGTAACAAAACAGGAAGAAAGCTGAAAGAACTAGAAAACTAACCGGTCATTGACATTTGAATTCCACAAATGGACAAAGTAGCCATTCATGTGAAAAGCTACCTCCTTGGGTAGGACACAGTAACCTACCTTAATATGTCAACAAACTGCAAGCTGAGAGAATATTCTGGAAAAGAGCCTGAGCAGACAGGCACTCTGTTCATAGAACTGCCAATGCCCAGAAATGGGCAAAAGTTGTACATGAGCTACAGTAAAAATGCTCCTCCTGCACGTGACATTTTGTTCTGCCTACAGATACTGACACAGACAGAAGTTCCTGCAGCTTCACTTTGTATAAAGAACGTGCAAAAACAGACTTTCCAGGCTCTTCTTTTTAATAGTTATAACAAGACCTAAAGTCTAAGGAGCTGTCTTTTAAAAGAAATTGCTTTTATTAAGTTTCTAATTTATTTACATTTGAATGCATTTATCTAAATGGTTCTATTATCAGTAAAAACTCAGGAGTCAGATATTGGGGTAAAAACCTGATAGATCAAGAAAGCATTGGAGGAACCAACAGCTGACTATCTCTCTCCACACTTCCCAGATCAAATGGTCTGAAATCTTTCTAAGCCCCTCCCTACTCTTTCCTGTGCCTCTCTAGTGTTTTGTAGCCTGGGTCCTCCAGAAATCTCCATGGCAAACTCCAGTCAGCCAGTCGTTGACTCTGCCCCCTGTTTCAAGGTTAACTATATTAAGAGTCTCAGAGTGGCACAGTATGATCAAATATCCTACAACAACATTTCAAGAACTGTTGGTTCTAAATGCACCGCTCTGCTCTTACCCAGGCGGCATTGGTCCAGGACTAAGGCTCAGCATGAGCACAGGTGAACAGCAAGGAGCTGATACAAGAGGAAAAGCACTTCCTGTCTCCAAGGACTCACACCGCCCAGCGAGTGCTCAGGAAAGCACGCGCAGGGGTTTCTTTCTCCAGCCCCAACAGTACAATCTAAGAAATGACTGTGCCTCAGAGTCTAGGAAAGAGAGATAAGGACTCCTCAGAGGACTCTGCCTCCCAACTCCCCTGGATCACAATCATGAAGTGATGGGGATGGGGGTGGTTGGCCACAAATACTGAATTGATGGGTAGGTAGCTCAAGGGTTCGCAAAAAGCACTCAAGCCTTGCACTTTGCTCCATGAAAATCACTTATGCAATGGAGGAGTTGATTTGAAGAGGGTTGTTGGCCGATTAAGAGGTGTTCTCAGCTCTGTCACTTAACCAGCCGTACGGTCCAGAAAAACGATTTGTTTTCCTCTTGCCATTATTTCCCCATCCGTAAATTCAGCCGGTTAGTGTAATTTAGTCAAGCCACCAGAAAGAGAAGATCCCCTAAAAGTAGATTTTTCTGTATAATAACTAAGGTTTAGACAGCTGTGGCTACAGACCTGGGCAGCCAGCCTGCTTTCTGTCTCCCCAGCACTCCAAGGAGTCTTACAAAGATAGGCTTACGGGGTAGGGGGGGGGGGGGTGAGTGGGGGGATGGGACGGGACAAGACAGGACACGGCTTATTAGGTTAAATCAACCGCGCTCTTGACGGCGACCCTCCAAGATTAGAATTGTGTTATCCGATGAAAGCGAAGCCCTGGGGGTCTAACTAAAGTGCCCAAGGTGCAGGCAGTGAAGGTGAGAGTCCAGCTGGGCAGGGCAGGTCGCATGCAGGAGGGGTGCAGCCTCAGCTCTCACCAGCCCCAGGAAGGCGGCATTCAGGACCGCGGTGGAGAACCAGCGCAGCGCGCTCCTGGCCCGGCCCCTCCGCCGGGAGGCCGCCGCGGCCGGCTCGCTCTCGGCCCGGGTCTCCGCCTGGTGGAGCCGCTGTGCGGCCGCCGCCGGCCCGGCGCTCCCGGTCTTCAGGTCCAGCTCCAGCTCGGCGCCTGCGGGGAGCTCTTGCTGCGGGCGGACGCTCCGGGGCTCTGCGCTCCGGCTCCTCCAGGCTCCGAGGTCCCTCCCGGCACCACCTTCCCCCGGGGACCGTCCCGACTCAGGACCTCCGGCGGCTGGACTTCGACCCTGGCCCCGGCGGGCGGCTGAGAATCTTCTCTCTCCATCTTCCAGAATCGCCTGCGGTCGCGGGGGGGAATCGGGCCTCTGGCCAACCAGGAGCCAGAGTCGGACCGGAAGGCGTGGTGGTTGCCGGGGAAACCGAACGCCGCGCGAGTTTGAGCTGCAACTGAAGCCTGGCAACAGCCGCTCAAAAGCCTGTGCTGCTAAGCTTGAGGGAACCCGGAGGGGAGGTCGTCCTTACAGCCGGCAGGTACGCCTGCCTTCTCTCCCCGTCTGTTATTCAGCTTTCAGGCCAAGGACACTTGCTGAAGCTCTGGAACAGGCTCCCGGAGCCCTGGCAATCCTCACCATCCTCTGCTGTCACCTTAGCCAGGTGTCTAGAGAGCTCGCCCAAGGTCGGTCAGCAATCACTGGCCTAGTCAACAGCCAAATAGCTCAAGGCACACGTGTGGGTTCAAAACTGCGGTTTCAAACGTCCATCAGCCCGGATTCCCGCACGTGACTGGAGCCTGGCATTGATTGTCACGATTGCTGAGTAAAGTCATGTGATCTGAGAGAGGTTGTGCCGTTATCGGCGGCAGCTTTGTTCCATGTGCTTCACGCAAGCCAACAATGTGATGTGTTGATCATCTGTCTAAAATCTGTCCTATCCACCGGAAAGCCTCCTCGTTCTCTACATCACTGATTACTTACACTGAGAAAACATCGTTTCATAAGATTGTAGGTCAAGAACCACACCGGAAGGCTTTTTTGTTTGTTTGTTTGTTTGTTTGTTTTTGTTACAAAAACAAAACACAACACAACAAAAACCTTATTCCACTTGCTGACACCTGTCAAGGGTTGCTTATTATTTGCTGAATCCTAACTACAGAACAAGTCAGTATTTGTTTCATGACACTAAAGAAGCAGAAAATTTTGTAATCTGTGGTGTCATTGTATCCAATAGATATTTACATACCGGATTATGCTGGCCATGCAGGCCATTGAGGAAATCAGGAGAAGAAAAATTATGACCAACTGTTACTGATCCTACACAGGATAAAAGTATTTTTAGGGAAAACAGACAAATTCTAACTTACTCTTAAAACCTAACTTGAGAATTATGATTTATAATGTCAGATTTGGTACTGAAAGTTCTCAGTCTTATAGATAAACATAAAACTTAAAATTCAGGTTTTCAAAAATCCCTCATTCAGAGTCAGCTGTCTTTTTAAATCCAAAGACAGGAGCTCTCCTCACACTCCATTGCCTCCCCATCCACTCCACAGCTGGGAATTTCTACCATCTTCTGCCTATGCATGTCACAGCTGTGGACCTCGCAGATCATTCCTGGACATCCGTCAGGCACTCCAGTGACTTTGGTCTAAGATTCAGTGTTCTCGCCACACAACTTTGTTTCCACAGGCTTAACACCAAGCTTCAAAACATCGTCCTTGGCAAATGGCTTTACTTTGAGATCTTAAAATCCAGCATTCCCATTTCTTGCCACAATTTCCCATCCCTTTAGCTCCTTCCTCACCATTTCCATTATACCTGCTCTTTGATTTTGGGGTCATCCTTTGGCGGCTCCATTCCCCCATCTCCTCTCCCAGTCTGTCAGCTCTGTCTGTCCTTCTCTGTTCCCTCCCTCACTCAAGTTAATGTGGACTCTAGGTCACCTCCACGAACTGCCTCAGTGGTAAGCTTACTCTCCTACATGGTGGTGGTTGCTAGGGTTTCTGTGCCCTGATAGTCCGTTTCTCTGCCGACGCCATAAGCCAGACCAAGCCAAGTTAAAAAGTAAAGGACCAGGTATATTTGATCCAAACAACTCCCTGGTAAGTCCTCCAGCCTCCAGACAGGGGCGGGGAAGGGGTCAGCGACAAAATCACATGGCCATTCTAAAGGAGGGGGCTTAAACATCCTGTAGGCACCAGGCGATGACCTGTGCTCCACAAGCTGGGTTTGTGCCCAGTTATAACGCTTTAGGTGGGGGTTGTGCAATTGGGGAGCTACCACTTGGCAGTTTTTCTGAAAGGGCCGGGTTTGGAGAGGGAGGAATGGCCAGATCAAGCAGGAGTGAGCTGGAGATTCCAGTCAGATAGTGGTTTTGTCCACAAATTAAATAACTCTGGTTTCTTTAACCTTCTGTTTTTAAAAATGATTACATTTGTTCTCTGACAATTTCACACACGTGTATAGTGCATTGTGTTTCCTCTCACACACACCCCCACCCTCTCTCATCTTCCTCCTGTCTTTACCACCCTCCCACAGGTCCCTTTCCACACGTTAAGGTCTGTTGCATGTAAAGAAAGAAGTCATTCCAAGATGAAATTTTAAGGCCTGTGTGGCAGACAGCAGGAAGGTCTGGCCTCTGTTGAACTTAAACCTGAACAGCCATACAAAGGCATATTTATTGACTGTTACATAAAGTTTTAGGGCGGCGAGGTGTATGTAAAATATTTCCTCATACCAAAGTCCTATTTAATTTTTATGTCTCTCTAAAGGAAAGCATCACATGTCCTCATGACTAGTCCTTTATTGTGTATCGTTTGCAATACATAATAATTTAAGAGCCTGAGGTGTGCTGGAGGCATCTCGTGACTAAAGTCATGCAAAGGCTGTGAAACCCCTTCAGAAAAACAAATCTATAAATCATGGAAAACAATCACCTTTTTTTTTTTTTTACTGCTTTCCATAATTATTCTTCAAGGTCAAAATACTTCTAGAAAACAACTATTCACTCTGTTTACCCTGGATACATAGAAAACTATTCTCTTTAATGTTTACCCTAGATAAAGTAAAAACTACTCATTCTATTGTCCACCCCAGATACAGCGACCGCTAAATTCCTACAACATTTCCCTTTTTTAAATCTATATTAATTACTTTGAAGATTACGTAGCTACACAGTGAAGGCAGCATTTTTTCTTTTTCTTTTTCTTTTCTTTTTTTCTTTCTTTCTTTTTTTTTTTTCTGAGACAGGGATTCTCTATGTAGCTTTGGTTCCTGTCATGGATCTCGCTCTGTAGATCAGGCTGGCCTCAAACTCACAGAGATCGGCCTACCTCTGCCTCCTGAGTGCTGGGATTAAAGGCGTGTGCCACCACTGCCTGGAGACTTTTTTCTTTTATGTTATTTCATAGATTTAGGTATGTAAGTTAGAATACATTTGAAAGTCAGTAAAATTATAGCCAAAAGAAGTCTAGCAACCACTAGGATATGAAACCTATTAAATGATTTATAGGATTAAATGAAGCTATGGTATCTGTAAGGCTTTTTATATCATCCATTTTAGATATAGCAGGTAAATTATTTTAAAAGGCTTTTAAAATTTTTTGTTGTAAATCATCAATCATTTGAGAAGAATTACAGTGACTCAACAAATGTATTTTAACCTTTTAAAAATCATACTTGTTTTTATTAAACTTTAAAGGTGTAATACAACAAGCTTAACACTTTAGTCATATTTTAGTTTAATTTGTTTCTTTAAAGTCTCTAACTGATTTCCCAAAAGCAACATAGTTTGTCACAAGTCGGTTATTTTATTAACTATCCCATTATCTATTTTATTTTGTTGAGCCCAAAGTTTTATAGAATGCTGATATCAGTCTCTAACAAATTTAGCAGTTTGAATTTTTTTATGAAGGGTTAATCTGGCTCTTGTAGTAATAGCAGTCGATGTAATAATTTCCATAATTACATCAATAATCAGTCCAATCATTTGATGTGGTTTTTTAAAAATATTTTCAGTGAGTTTTTGATCTAGAATCAGTACAGGTGAGTTTTGTCATAACCTCAATAGTTTTATTGGTATCCAGACTGCTGGCCTTGCTTTAAGAATATAGAAACTTTCAGAAGTGACATCCAATAACATACTATCATTAATGCAGGCATGAAGAGTACAATGTTCACAGTGATACTATAGTTATAAGGGTGCCTTTTTATATGCCCTTTTAATAATGTATGGGTGATGGCACACATGCTCGAAAGGTGTGACTTTGATTTAATTTAAAGGACAAAGTGTACTTGCCATCATAAACATTTAACTATTTTTATAATTTACAAGGGCATAAGACACTTGTTAATTTTTGCAAGTTAGTTTGAATTGAATTGTCAACTTGTAACACAGTGCCTGGCATTTTTACTCCATGTCCTTGGGTAGGTTTATCAATAGCAGAGCTAATTTTCATAGTTTCATTTAAACTATATCGCTGTCATCTTAATTTTGAATGAGAATATTTTCCTCAAGGGAAGCTGTAAGGGCCCCAATCAATGATGTCTTCATGGGAGATATTAGTAAGCATTTGAGGCTTTCTACTTTTACAATGTTGTCAATGTATCCAGTTAGATTTTTTTGTTGGTAAACCATATCTCTTAAGACAGTAGATGTATAGAACTAGTAGCATTAATCTCATATCCTGTAAACCAGATACATGGAGCATATAAAATTTATCATGAAAGTGGATAGTACTGTGATTAACTATACATAGCCAAATTTGAAAAGTTATTTAGACAGTGAGTTACATACTCATACAAATATGTAAGGAGTCTTCCTCTCCCAAATAATAACACAGAGACTTATTAATCATGAAAGCTCAGCTTTAGCTTAGGCTTGTCCCACTAGCTCTTATGACTTAAATTAACCTGTTTTTATTCATCTGTGTTCTGTCACCTGATGCCCATCCTGCTTCCTCTGTGTCTCCATTCCTCTCTGGTGCACCTAGCTTCCTCTCTCTCTGCCTGGAAGTCCCGCCTATACCTCCTGCCCCACTATTGGCCACTCAGCTTTCTATTACACCAATCACAGCAATACACCTTCA